AATTACAGATATCTGCATACGTGTCAGCTTACTGTCTATCTTTTTCTGCGTAAAGCACCATGCACTTACTTCATTTGGTCGAAACTTGTGAATAGAGATTCTGGTTTTTGGTTTTAACCTTAGAGAGTTCAAGATTGTATATGGGACACCGCCAATGTGACCATCGCAGATTGATATTCTTCTGATGACTATAAAATGAGTTTTTTTATTTGCGATAGTTGTGTAAGTCGTAATGTCATTCGTTTCTAAGGTTTACATTTCAGGGATATAACGTTAGAAAAACATTGGAAATCGGTGCTTCACCGGTCGATATGCGATTATTTCTTCGAATCCATGCAACAGGTACATAAAAGTTGAAACTTTTCGCATTGCGGCTTTGTTGCCTGACTGTACTTTATAGGCTGCGAATCCCGAGGATGTGCCCCCGATTCTCTCAACTCCTCATTACTACTTGATCACTATATATCGATTCCAGATGTATTTTGTGGCCGTGGTTGCAGTGGAGGGTAACTTATTAAAAACCTTTTATAGATCTGTTATTTTTCTCGCATCCGGGTGGCAGTTGCGGCTGGGTGTAAAATTTAGATTAACGCAGCATCAGTGTGGGTTTAGTTTGATTCACTGTAAGACAGACCACAGCACTAGTGATCATGAACAGTCACATGCTTGTTTGCTTTCAATGTCACGCAACCCCTTCATTCATAAAGTGCATGGCCTTCTGCGAATTATGTTATTGTGTAATTTCCAATAATTTTGGTTAATTTCTACGCTGTTTAATGATGCACTGTTGTAAAAGGGATAGGTATATGTAGTGATATCAAAATCCATACTAATTCAATACCAGTTCAGTGCGAAGAGTATACTGATTCAGTAATAATGCAGGCGCAGTATAAGCCAATGTACTTCAATTAAGAGCCGGCATTTCATTAATGGCATTGTCCATCACCAGGACAGACATTGAACCGAGGCAGGAAATACGTATAGGTGTATAAAAGTCCTACTGAAATTAGAATGGTAATATTTTAAAATAGATTTAAAGTTGGAATGCGTCACATTACTTGAAAATTAAAACTGGTCAGTACAGCGTTATTTAGTGTACGAGACAGTGTATTAATGCTCGTATTCGGGACATATCAAAAGAACTGGCACAGCCGTTTGTTTGGCAGCGGTGTCTAGCGAATTTTTTATGAGTAATCTGTTCTGCATCTGAGTTCAAATCTGCTCTGCAGTAATTTTCACCGATCCATCTTCCGATCGCGGTGTCTTCGTCATAAAAAACGGATAACGACCAAAGTAAGAGATCACGTGCCACGAGAAAGTTCGACGAAGTGCACTTTTCTTTGCCGTTAAACTGTGCTATGAATCCTGAACTGGTAGACTAAGAAAAAAAGGTAATCAGAGACTAACAGTTCGTTTTATTCCTCCGTATGGCTATCTCTCTGTGAAAATGACAGACTACAAACCTGAGTGGAAGGACGGGAGATCATATTCATCTATTTCCCGAAGAAAACTTGGTAAAATCTTATCATTTGCTTGGAACAGAGGATGACTTTTGTGCTATAAAAGCATCAAGATGGTGACGATTTTGTTTAGTTAGGCTGAAGAAGCAGTGACAGAAATACATATGCTACCCTACCTTTATGGCCAAGAACGAGGAATTCAAGCATCAATACGTTTTTCAAACTTGCGTAGTTTGTTTTCATCCTTCTCAACGAAAGATGACATTTGTCATTTGCTATCTCAGTCACTAATCAGTGACAGACGTCTTTCTACTTCACACCCATGATGATTATTCAAAGCATGTATCGCATACTCAGAATGATTGTTCATGAGTTTTGTTATTCAGAGCTTAATTGCCTGTATATTTACTTGGCATCAGTAGTTGGAAGAGGCGCGATTCGTTTGATAAATCACATTGTCAGTTTTCTCGCAAGGACTAGGTTTAAACCCTTTTTCTAAATTGACCCTAGAATGATTCATTTGTTGTGAAGTACGTTTTAGTTTCGGTCCTTCCGACGCAAATCACGTCAGATGTGCCATCACTTAATCAAATGACTCGCTCGTTCATTTTCAGTATCTGCTATTCTGTTCGAACCGATGGAGTAGTTCATCCAGGAGGTTTTTCCAGTGCTGCCGGTCTTCTGTTAAACATGCAAGTTTGATTGTCTGGATTCCAAGGAGCAGCAGTGCCAATTCTCTTGAATTGAGCCTTCCGATCCGTGGCTTACCTCTTTGCCATTGTTAGTGCCATTTTGCATGTCTCTCTAGTGGCACACTGATCACGCCCAAACCATTGCAGTTTTTATCTTTCGATCTGGAGAAATAGGAGCTCGCAGTCACAGGGTTGCTCGTAATGCCATGTTCTTGTCGATCTTCACCATACTAAC